AGCTCCAGGCAGGGGTGAGTCTATCTTGCTATGAGAACCCAGACTCTGATCTAATAAAGATGTAATTCAAAATGAGCCACAGAAGTCCCAATTTATGTAATTGCTATGTTGGATCAGTTACTGCAAAAGATGCCTTTAGAATTCACTGAAGAAAGAAACATCTGAACAATCATAGTGTCTGGTTGAAATAACATATTGTGGAAACCGTTTCACTTCTGGAGCTGCATAATTGCTAACGAACTCCTATAATAACTTGAAAGGCCCTCTTGCTGTGTTTGAGGTACTTGATTAGTTGTGGAAGAGGAAGCACAACATTATGATGCTAGCAAGTTCTACAATGCAAACTAATCTTTTCAAAAGCTGACCACTGACAAACCATTCAATTGTAAAGCTTTATTTTCAGGGAACGGTGTTAGGTTTTCCATATAGGACTGTGAAAGATTCCATTCAGATATATCCAAAATAGGGATGAAATTAATTTTGGGTGCATGATGGTAACTATTCAAAATATTGACATTACAGATTAAACAATTGTTTAACCTCTGAAATGAATGAGCCTCAGTAATTATGGTGAAGCTTCGTGTTGTGACTAGTAACTGTACAACAACAATTTGCTTTTATGCAGTATCAATAATGTTCTAAAATACCCTGCCATGCTTGTGTAAGATAACTTGTATACTTGTCAAAGTTTCAATATTCGTCTTGAAGAAAGACATCAGACAGTCAGCAGTAGATTTTTCAATCTAGTTCACTTGATTTACATGTCTAAATTTAATAAACTGCCTTGAACATATTGATAAAGCTCTTTACAACTGCTCGCTTCATACCACTTGTAGTTTGCCATGGTTGGGCAGGTGGAAATTTTAAACTAAAATATTCATTTGGGGTTTCTCAATTTCTCAACAATTTGTTTTTATTGAGTGATTTTTAAGTGATAGTGATTTTAAATGAGTCTTCAGTTTTGCTGAGAATTCTGCAGTTTTTTATTTGTTTATGAAATGTGGGTGCCAGTATTTATTGTTCATCTCTAACTCTTATTGAGAAGATGGCAGTAGCTGCCTTCTTGAAATGTTGTAGTCTATTTGCTGTCAGTAGACCCACAATACCATTAGGGAGGGAATTCCAGCGACACTGAAGGAATAATGGTATACTTCAAAGTCAGGATGGTGAGTGGCTTGGAGAATAACTTGCAGGTGATATGTTCTCATGAATCTGCTTCTGATGTCCTTCATGATAGCGGTTGTGGGTTTGGAAGGTGTTGTCTAAGAAGTCCTGGTGAATTTCTGCAGTAGATGGTGTCTTCTGGACAGTACATACTGCTGCTACTGAGCACCTATGGTGGAGGGAGTGAACGTTTGTGGATGCGCCAGTCAAATGGGCTGCTTTGTCCCGGACGGTGTCAAACTTCTTGGGTTGGAGCTGGACTCATCCAGACAACTGGGGGTATTCCATCACACTCCTCAATAGTGCATTGTAAATGGGGGGCAAACTGCAATGAGGTCAGAAGCTGAGTGACATATCAGAACCCAAACTGAACATCAGTGAGCAAGTACTCAACAAGTGCCGAATGATAGGACAGTGGATGAAACCTTCTATCAGTTTCTTGGTAATCAAAGAAGGTAAACATTCAAGTGCTGTTCAAGTTAAATATGTTTCCTTATTTTTATCTGACTGATTCTTTTTATTATTTTGAAGGCCCTTATCAAGTTTGTTTGAAAATAAGTTTAATTACTTGAGCCAACTTAGTGCTGATTCCTTGAATCACCTGATCATACTTGTCTAAGAGAGGTCAATTTCGCTTGATGGGCTGGATAGCCAGATTATGATGCAGAGTGACAACAACAGCATGGGTGTACTGCCTGCGCCTGCTGATTCAATGAAGGACCCTGCTCCTTGCCTAACCCTCAGGTTAAACCACAACCAATTGTGTGTCGGTCTTTCTTTCTGTCACGCGCACACACACACGTTTGCTCTCTTGCACTCGCGCGCTCACTCTTGTGCTCTCTATCTGTCTCTCGCGCTCCGTCTCTCCATCTCACGCACACTCCCTCTCTCTCTCTCTCTCATGTGCCTCTTTCATTTCTAGATCAAAGTCACAGTGTCCGATATGTATGGGATCCTGGTTGCATTTTAACTGCTACTTGAGTAGAGTGTTAATTAGTATTGTTGGGAAATCAACAATTTCATTGAAGATTGAAGTAAATTTAAAGAAGAATTCTTAAAGGGAACAGGACTGTGCTGCTTAGACCTCTGCTTATGCCTCCAGCCAGGAGACATTAGCAATATGCAGACATATGATCAGGATTGCCCAAACTTCATTTCCTCCCTCTGTTCGGCTATCATTTCCAGCTAATATTGGTGAAGGCATTGTTCAATGACATTGGAATCTGTCATGAATTCATATATTAGGGTGACTATGCCATCTGTTCCCATCAGCTTTGAAGGATTTGAATCTGCCTGTTACATTTTTCTCCAACATTGTATTTCTCAATCAGAGCTCAGCAATGTGCCCACATTTTATAATTTTCTTTAAAACTTAAGATTTTTCTTGTCCCACTTCTCGAGCAGAAATTGCGTTGCGTATGTCTTTCAGAAAAGTAAAAACACATATTTGTTACTTACTAAGTTATGTCCACACCACTTGTACATATTTTGGGTAGCCACCTATATCAGGCTGTCTCCGATTACCCATTTATTACTTCCACTGAAGTCAGTTAGAGAAATGTCACTTATAACATATACATAATAGAGTCCCAGCTACTTTGGACAAGACAATAGACTATTCACACCATATTAATATATTGTATTTAAATCACTCTATGGGCCATGGGTCACACTATGTAGATGTCTTTTTCCCTGGTCTCGGAGTTTTAAAGTGATCGTTTTGGTAGTAGATTGAAGTCATCCGCTAGTGAAAATGACTGTTTCTCACACAACATTTAGAATGATTAAAGTGAAGACCCCCTGAGGAATTGAACTTGAGCACAGCATTTCGTGCTCGTTTTGCTGACTATCTTAGCTCCTGTAGAAGCAAAACCAACAGATGTGCAGTAGTGTCGGGCTGCGTATGCACATGGTTCACTACAATCAGACACTCGTTTGCAAGCAAGGTCTTATTCTCTCTAAAATGCTACATACGTTCAATTATGTCCAACACTTCTAATGGTCAAAATGCATTAATGCCAACGTGCCTGCTGTAAGCAGTGGATAATGTATATATGTATGTTAGGCAATTCAGAAATGAGATGTAAAGGACTGCAGAACAGAATGTATTAATGTCCGTTGACATGGGCATAGTGTGATCAGTGAGCTGATTTCACGCAATGGTAAAATGCCAAATATTATGGGCAGTCAAGCAGGACGTTCTAGGCTTCACCTTCAGGACGCCGTATTTAAAAGGCATCTGGAGAGTGTTACTATGTTACTATGTTTTGGGCTCTTGTCAGGTTACTTGAGTTGGATGAAAGCCTGCCCTATAGCCACATGGTGAGTTGCATCCTCCAAGGCCCCTGACTGGTTTTTCCCTCGTGATGCTGTCATGTGCAAGATATTTGTGGTTTTCAGCTTTACATTGCTAATTGCCACATGCATGGAAAGCACTGTCTGACTCTTCGTGACCTTCCCTACGACCATAAACCTTGAAATTTACAGCCTGCAAAAGTGTTTATCTCGTGTCCTTAACCTTATTATTCAAGGCTATGAAAGTTTTTTTTTGATCAGTAAGGGGATCAAGGATTGTTGGGGAAAAGGCAGGAAAGTGGAGTTAAGGTTTATCGGTTCAACCGTGATTTAATTGAATGGCAGAGCCGACTCATTGTGCTGAATGGATTAGATCTTAATGTCCTGTGGTAGGTAATCCCACAACCAACTGATCAAGTCAAAACTCTGCAGTTCTGCTGAAGAATCATACTAGGCTCGAAACATTAACCATGTTCCTATCTGCACAGATGCTGCCAAACCTGCTGAGTCTCTCCAGCATTTAGTGCACTTGTTAGAAAGTCTAAGTTTGCATGCAGTCCCATGTTTATGCAGGAAGTAATACAAATGCTTATAACTACAGTTGTATCAACTATTTAGATTGAAATATAGATTTTTTTGTATGAAATTCCTTCTCTTGTTAATTAATGTTGGAATTAGTTGATTTCAGTTGGTTTGTCACTGTTTTAAAGAGTTTTTAAAAATGCAGTCTTGTTCAGTATGGAGATTCCTTTTTGTAAAGGAATTAGTCTCTACCAGAATCATAACAAAAGATTTTCAGGTGAACAATGATGAACTGACCTGCTGATAATAAGTATTTGATATGTTTTCTAATTGTTCCCTCTTGTGTCTCATAAAGTAGAAAATGAATAGCTCAAAACTGACCTGTTTGTCTTTTCTTAGTGTATGATAAATCTGTCATGGATATTTCCTGTTTAATAACTCAATGCAAACTAAGAAATAAGGTATTGATAGTGCATCAGTGTAACCTAACCATATTGACCTTTTGGCAGTGCAAGCAATGTAGATGCACGGTTGGACAGGCTTGTTTACATTACCTTCCAAGTATTCTTTTTACAAGTGTTGTTGACAAAACGTAGGTTTAGAGAAGTGTTTGTTTTAAGATAAGTCTATGGAAAATACTTGCAATTCAAAATATTCACCCACTTTAAGGTGAACAAAGCATAAACTGAGTTCTTTTGTCACTTAACTCTACAGGAATATGAATTTTATAAAATATCTTGACAATTTGCTCAGATCTTAAGTCGGTTCTATTTGCTAATTTCAGGTTAAAGCATAACAATTTTCTTCAATGAAACTAGATCTTGGTACAGTCAAAAGAACTGTGCAAGCTGCGCCAGAAAGGACAGTAGTTTAATGTTTACAGAAAATGATCAGGGATGAGAAATAGAACAGAGTACAACTGAAGTTGATCCTTGAAGGAAATAATTCATTAGAGATTTTATTCGCTATGAATTGTGAACAATGTTGGATACAATGTAATTTTAATCTTTTATTTGCAGATATGCTTCAGAAGAAACCATCAATGGATGACTTTGTTGATGCCTTAGTGACAGATCTGGATTTAAACTTTGAAACATAATTGATGGACTCAGAGTAATTGATACATAAGTCTGCATGTTGTTTGAATTGCATCAGCATTCATGACATAATGCTGTATGTGTGTATATATTGTGATTTATAGACATAATTTCAATGTCATTTTGTAGTGATTGGAGCTTAATTTAACTTGTAATTTTCATTAAAGTATATGTTACTTTTTAAACATCAGTTTCTAATTTTTATTGAAGTTAAAAGGACGAAGAGGTTTTAATGTTTCTAAGTTTTACTTGATGAACCAGGAGAAACTTGCATTCTATACAGGGATGTGTTGCTACTTTTTGCAAATTAAGTTTGTTTGTTAACATCAGTAAGAGCTGGGATCACTTTGTTCCAATTTTTTTTTACTGTAATGTTATTGAATATGGGAAGGCTTCTTGCACAACATGCATAATCCACAAAAACACCAAGGATTTCTGTTATCATAAGCCACTGTGGTGAATATAATTGTGTCTCAAGGTCAGATTTCCATATATACCAAAATATATGCAAACTCAGCTTCTTACTTATGGTTTATCCATCACTGAATCTAAAGTAGTCTGTAACGAATCTTCCGATACACCTTACAGCTTAGGTGCCCCATGTTGTCAATTTCTCCCCAACAGTGAAATTGTATAAAACACTCTAGACACATTTTTCACTATAAATTACATTTACAGTTTTGATAAGTTATCTGTTTAAAAGTAATATTTTGAACTTGTGGATATAGTTCAGTAACTTACCTAGACATAATATCAAATCAGAATTTTATTTATTTCAATGATCTTGAAATACATTTAATTGCATGCACAAAAACAAAGTTGCTGGAAAAGCTCAGCAGGTCTGGCAGCATCTGTGGAGGAGAAAACAGAGTTAACGTTTCGGGTCCGGTGACCCTTCCTCAGAACGGGGCATTAATTGCATGCGTTTTTTTAATTGTCTTTTTTTTCATGGTGGTATATTCTTTTGACCTGTGTGATCCATTGCTTGTTTTTAGTTGTCTGGATATTTATTGTACCATCTGCTTAAGCATTTTACAGTGACAAATAGAGTGAATAATACTGCCTATTGCCACATACTAAACTATCCTTACCCGTTTTACACAAATGAAGAAACTTCTTAAATTCACTTCTCTACGTGCAATTGTAATTTATTCCAAGTTATGGAGAAATCAGCCGTTGAGCACACTGATCATGAAGTTGATGTGTTTTAGTCGACTTCTGTTTCACTCTGCACAGCCAACAGACTCAGAGTCCTACAGCGTGGAAACAGACCCTTCGATCCAACTAATCCATGCCAACTATGTTCTCAAACTAAATGTGTCCCACTTGCCTGTGTTTTGTCCAAATCGCTCCAAACCTTTCCTATTCATGTACTTATTCCAAACGTCTTTTAAATGTTGTAACTGTACCTGCATCCACCACTTCCTCTGGCAGTTCATTCCACACATCCACCTCTTTGTGTAAAAAAAAAAAAAAGTTGCCCCTCATGTCTTTTTTAAAAACTTTCTTACCTTAAAAATACGCCCCCTAGTTTTGAACTCCCCACCCTAGGGAAAAGACCTTGCTCTTCACCTTATCTATGCCCCACATGATTTTATAAACTCAATAAGGTCACCCCTCAATCCCCTACCCTCCAGTGAAAATAAATCACAGCATGGCCAGCCTGTTTTTATAACTCAAACCCTCCATTTCAGGAAACATCCTGGTAAATCTCATCTGACCCCTCTCCAGCTTGATAATAGCCTGCTATAGCAGGACAACGAGAGCTGCACACAGTATTCCAGAAGAGGCTTCACCAATGGCCTGTACATCCTCAATATAACACCCCAACTTCTATACTCACAGGCCTGAGTAATGAAGGCAAGCCTGCTAAATAGCTTCTTAACAACCCTGTCCGTGTCAGAAACTGGGACAGCACATAGGCACATGTTTTCTCCTGAGCAAAAACATTTCCTTCAATCGTGAGATTGTCTGGATAGCACAAGGTTGTGTATTGTGTTGCCTAGGTCTTCCCTTCCTAGACCTCTCAGTTGCATTCCATCTCTACCTTCATTTAGATGCTCCTGAAAACTACATCCTTAAATAATATTGATGTTTTGAAAACAGTTCACATTACAGAAGAGAAAGCACTGGATGTCTTAGAAAGTATAAAGGTGGATAAATCTCTAGGATGTGATCAAGTGTATCCCAAAACTTTGTGGGAAGTTAGATGAAATTGCAGGGCCCCTTGCAGAAATATTTGTACCATCTATAAATGTAGATGAGGCACTGAATGACTGGAGAGTAGCTAATGTGCTTTTGTTTAAGAAGGGATGTAAAGATAAGCCTGGGAACTGTAGACCTATGTGTCTGACTTCAGTGGTGGATAAATTGTTGAAAGTGATTCTGAAAGATAGGATTAATGTGCATTTGGAGAGGCAAGGAATAATTAGGGATAGTCAGCATGGTTTTGTGCATGGGAAATTGTGTCTCACAGACATGATTGATTTTTTTGAGGAAGTAACCAAGAAAATTGATGAGGGCAGAGCAGTAGATATTGTTTACTTGGACTTTAGTAAAGCTTTTGACAAGGCTCCGCATAGTAGACTAGTTAGTAAAGTTAGATCACAAGGGGTTCAGGGTGAGCTTCCCAATTAGATGCAAAATTGGCATATTGGCAGGAGACAGAGAGTGATGGTGAAGGGTTGTCTTTCAGACTGTAGGCCTGTGACCAGCGGTGTTCCACAGTAGATCAATTCATTTTTGTTTGTCATTCATATAAGTGACTTAGATGAGAATATAGAAGGCATGGTTAGTAAGTTTGCAGATGACACCAAGATTAGTGGTATAGTGGACAGTGAAGAAAGGTACCTAAGATTACAAAGACATCTTGATCAATTGGGTTAATAGGCTGTGGAGTGCAAGATGGAATTTAATTTGGATAATTGTGAGGTATTGCATTTAGGTAAAACAAACAAAGGCAAGACTTAAACAATTAAAAGTAGGGCCTTGGGTAATGTTGCAGAACAGAGACACGTGGAGGTTCAGGTACATAATTCTTTTGAAGTTTGTATCACATTTAGATAGGTTGGTTAAGAAGACGTTTAGCGTTCTTGTCTTCATTTCTTAGATCTTTGAGTATAGGAGTTGGGGCGTTATGTTGAGATTATACAGGGCGTTGGTGAGGCCTCTTCTGGAGTACTTTGTCCAGTTCTGGTCTACCTGTTATAGGAAGGATATTATTAAGCTGAAGAGGGTTCAGAAAAGATTTACCAGAATATTGCCAGGAATAGAGGGTTTCGGTTATAAGGAGAGGCTGGATAGGCTGCAACTTTTTGCACTGGAGCGTAGGAGGTTCAGAGGTGACCTTATAGAGGTTTATAAAATAATGAAGGGCATTGATAAGGTGAATGGCAGGTGTCTTTTCCCTAGGGTGGGGAATCTCAAGACTAGGAGCCATATTTTTAAGGTGAACGGAGAAAGATTTAAAAAAGACATGACGGGTAAATTTTTTACGCAGAAGGTGGTTCGCATGTGGAATGAACTTCCTGAGGAAGCGATGGATGTGAGTACAATTACAACATTTAAAAGGCATTGGATACGTACATGAATAGGTTTAGGGAGTTATGGGCCAAGTGCAAGCAGGTGGGACTAGTTTAGTTTGGGATTATGGTCAACATGGGCTGGTTGGACCAAAAGGGTCTGTTTCCATGCTGTATGACTCCTTTGGCAACATCTGGGGATTTGTGCTAAAATTGGGGAACTGTCCCACACAATCACCAACAGCTTGGCAGTTGTATTCGCTAAATCATATGTTCCAACTAATTCTCAGACTCATCAGCTCAGTCCGTGGGTATGCCTTTTGTCCCACTGGCAGGACAAACTTACAGGAGGTGGCGGCACAATTGTACAGAGTTGGTACTTGGGAGACCTCCAAGTTGGCTCCTGAAGTCTCCTGGCATTAGGTCAAATGTGGGCAGGAAATCACTGTGCTGATTACCACCTCGGATATTGAGGGAACCAAGAGAGAAAAAAAACTGATTAGGCCTGCACTCAAAATACTTGAAGGTAGGAGGTGAATTTGTCTCCAAAATCATAAAAACATTTCTTTCCCTCATGATTGAGTTTTCCCAATCAGAAAAGTAGAATGGACAATCAAACCTAGTTCTCTCCTGAGTTTGCTGCTGTAACCCTAACAGCAGTAAGCACAGGAGGGAATCAGACTCTGGTTAGAGGAGCAACTACTACAGTAAGTAAATTTTTTAAAAAATGAGAGAGATGTTGGGGATGCCTGTTTTCTGAGGTGGTGGGAGAAAGAGGCTACACTTCTCATCAACGTATATTTGTATCTGATATGTGCCAGTTTGTAAGAGCCCCCATGATATAACTCCAATCATCTCACTTCAATGTTGCACTAAGGACACTGAGTTCAGGGGTATATGGGGACCTCATGCATAGAAGCATGATAGGTAGTTAATGAGGCACGTTTGGTAAGATCATGAACCTGTACAGTGCAGAAAGAGACTGTTCAGTCAATTGAGTCTGCATTGACCCTCTAAACAGCATCCCACTCGGACTCACCTCCCACACCATACCTGTAACCCTGCATGAGTTTACTGTTGCTAATCCACCAAACGTGCACATCCCTGGACACTACGGGGTAATTTATCATAGCCAATCCACCTAACTTGCACAACTTTTGGACTGTGGAAGGAAACCAGAGCCACTGGTGGGACACCATGCAGGCACTGGGAGAACATGCAAACGCCACACAGATGGTTGCCCAAGGCTGGAATCAGACTGGGTCCCTGGCGCTTTGAGGCAGCAGTGATAACCACTGAGCCACTATGCTGTCCAAAAAAATCCTGATTCCCTGACTGGGAATCAAACCCCGGATGCGGCAGTGAGTGTGCCAAATTCTAACCACCAAACCACGAGAGACGATATGGTGAGAAAATGCACTAAGCCTTATTGCAAAAAATGCAGCAAAACTCACATGTAGGGCCAATTCTTACATTTTTATGGCAGTGTAATTGTATTACCTAATGATGAATTAAAGAGAATGAAAAAGTAGTTTATGAAATTCAAAAGGCAGCACTTAAGAAAATTTCACAAAGAACCCTCAAAAAATTAAATTGTGTCCTGTGTACCTTTGGCAGTTTCATCTATCCATGCAGAGATTGGCAGAATTGACCACTTTAACTGT